TGATGATGATGATGATGGTGATGGTGGTGATGGTGGTGGTGGAAGCTGATGCCCAGAGAAGTTGTCACTTAGTGTTGGGGCAGGACTTGGGGACTCAGGGAACAGCTGAATGGACATGCACACTGATCACGGATAGGCGGGGTGCCCGGGGGGCACCATGTGACGCACACACCCAGAGGAAAGCTGTCCCGTGCTCCGCGTGGCTGGAGCTCCCAGCCCACCCTGCAGGGACAATCCTCTCCCCAGATGCGCTCCTCCATTCCTGTGTCGCACATCCGCGCCGTGGAGCGTGTGGACGAGGGCGCCTTCCAGCTGCCCCACGTGATGCAGGTGGTGACGCAGGACGGCTCGGGGACGCTGCACACCACTTACCTCCAGTGCAAGGTGAGGCACCGCAAGGTGGGGGGCGGAGGGTGTACCTTGAGTCCCATCGCACCCCTGACCGTCCCCTCCCCCACTCCCTGCAGAATGTGAACGATCTCAACCAATGGCTGTCGGCCCTGCGCAAGGCCAGCGCCCCCAACCCGGACAAGCTGGCCACCTGCCACCCTGGTGCCTTCCGCAGCGCGCGCTGGACCTGCTGCCTCCAGGCGGAGCGCTCAGGTGAGGGGGCGGGGTAGACACAGGCTCCTCCCTCCCCACCTGTTAATCCGCTGCCTGGGCTGGCTGTGGGACCTTGAGGAAGTTACCTAACCTCTCTGTGCCTCAGTCTCCTCAAGTGTGAAATGGAGTTGATCACAGTACCCACCTCCCAGGGCTTTGTGAGGATTCAGCGTGAGGCATGCGCCAGGCATTAGGCTTGCTCTCGAGGAAGACAAGCGAATAGCCAGGCAATTGTAATGCAGCCTCCTAAGTGCCAAGGTGAGGCTTCTGAGACTCCAGAGAATGCCTCTGACCTGCCCCAGGGTAGGAGATCAAGGAGGGCTTTCTGGAGGAGGTGCTGCTTAGATGTGGCCCGAGAAGAGTAGGTGGATTCAGGGGTGGGGTAAGGACATACTTTGCAAGCAGAGCAAACATGGGAGCACAGGCCGGTGTTGGGGACAGAGGGGGCAGAAGGATGGGAAGGGCTCAGTGTGGCTGGCGCCTGGACTGGGAGGGGGCTGCAGAGAGGCGGGGCCACGGCTCCGCGGCGATGGTGGGGCAGTGGGCCTGACGGAGGTAGTAGGCTTGCAGAGTGATTTTAGAGGCAGAAGGGACAGGGCTTGGCAACAGCCCACCATGGGGGCTTTTGGAAGGGGCTACTGATGACACTGCGCCCCCTCAGCTGCTGGTTGCAGCCACACACACTCGGCTGTCACCCTGGGAGACTGGAGTGACCCACTGGATCCCGACGCTGAGACCCAGATGGTATATCGGCAGCTGCTCCTGGGACGGGACCAGCTCAGGTGGGTGCCCCTCTCATCCCACTGCACCCCCTATGAGCAGATGGGCCCGCCACCCACTGTGGCCTCCCCTGTTCATGTAGCCGTTCTTCCCAGGCGCGTCAGCTGAGGTCGGGGCAGGGAGGGGCAAGCTCAAGGTGAGGACGGGGACGCATCCTCGGGCAGGCCCGAGCACAGAACTGCATCTTAGCATCTTTAAATACCTGGGACTCCAGACACGGGCACAGACCTTGGATGTGTCCCTCCCCTTCCTGGTCTCAGGAACACTGTTATTCAGTGACAGAGATGTGTTCCAACTCACTACAGAGTGGGTTCTGAAGCTGGCCTGCGGGGGTTCGAATCCTGGCCTGGCCACTTGTTGGCTGTGTGATCGTGGGCAAGTTGCTTACCTTCTCCGTACTTGAGTTTCCTCATTTGGAAACGAGGGTTAGTAGTAGTACCTACCTCATGGGGTTGACCTGAGCATCAAATGAGCTGACACAAGTGAAGCACTGTGTAGGTACCTGGCCACACAGTTATCTTTCAAAAAATGGTAACTTTTATGATGCTGCTCAACCTTAGGCAAGTTACTTTACCTCTCTGTGCCTCAGTAATCATCAGTATAATGGAGCTAATAGTGAGTGCCCCCCTCAGATAAGTGTGTGTGTGTGTGTGTGTGTGTGTGTGTGTGATAATCGAATGAGTGAATCCATGTGACGGGCCGAGAATAGTGTCTAGGACTCTATAAATGTTGGCTGTGATGAGGACGTTGGTGGTGCTGATTAGTCAGAACCTATAATATCTCCTGCAACCAGCCGAGAATCACTAGGGTAGAGAGTAAAACTGGGAATCAGGGATCAGCCTTGTCTTTCTCCCTCTCAACTTCTAGGATAAAATTCCTGGAGGATTTCAACATGGATACAAGTCCGGAGGCAGACACAGGGAAGGACTTCAGTGCCCCGGAAGGTAAGGGTTAAGTTAAGGAGGTCCCCTTCCTTTGCCCTCTCCACACCTTCCACGACTTGCCACGTACACCCCTGTGTCCTCCGAGTCACTGTCCTGTTTCCAGTTCACCAGCGGCCCGGGGCTGGGTGTGTGGGTTCTGATAATGTTGAGGATTCTCAAGGCACAAGGCAAATCTAGAGCCGAGACCACTGGGTGTGGGTTGTGGCAGCCGCCCTGGCCTGGCTAAGCCCCTGTGGCCCTCCTCCCAGGGGCCTGTCCTGATGCCCTGGTCGGGCAGAGAGCAGCAGCTGCCCGCCTGCTGGACGTCCTCGAAGACCTGGATCACGCCCACGAGGAGTTCCAGCAGCAGGAGCAGCGGAAAATGGTCTGGGCTCCCCTTGGGCCCTGAGGAAATGCCACCGCCAGCCCAGGAGGAAGAATAAGGAGCCAGTGGGCCTCTCTCGGTGTGCCCTGGCCCAGGATCTCCTTGTGGCTGTCCTCGTTGATGCTGTGGTTTGGAGGCTTCTGGAGATCTCCTAGTCCCGTGTGCTCTGAGCCCAAACCCTGGAGCATGGAAGCAGGGACCAGCCTTGCACTGAATGAGTCTCACTCTCTGGGCGGAAGCAGACCTGAGTGGCTGGGATAAGGAACCTGACTCATTTGGCTCAGCCTGAGGTCTCTGCTTCACTGGACTGGCCTCTACCCACATCAGCGAGGCTAGCCTGACCTTGAGCTGCTGGATACAGCTGTACCTGAATCCCTGATGCCCATGTGGTCTTGTTGCCCCCAGACAAGCACTAAACCGGCTCAGTCTTTCCTGTCTACATGTCTGCCAATCACTATAACCTCACTGACCCTCTTGAACCCTGCCCGTGGCTGATGGTCCTCATCACAAGCTTCCACAATCAGGTGCCCTCAGAAAGAGTAGATGGAGACCCCAATGTGCAGGACTCAGACAGACGCTTGGAGTCTGGGAGACCTTGGGCCGGGCTCCTTCCCCCTCTTTGAGCCTCAGATTACCCTGCATAAAATGAGGGAGTGACTTAGATGTGTGGTTTTCAAATTGGGTCCCATAGAGGTAGCTCAGGAGCCAGGGAGGAGTTTCTCAGACTGGCCCAAAGCCCCTCCCCGCTTGGGGTGGAAATGCAGATCCCTGAGCTCCACCCTGATCTACATCAAAATTGGAAGGAGTGAGGGGTAGGAGGAGTCAGGATGCTTAACAAGTTCCTCAGGTGGTGTGGGTGAACGTGATTTAAGGATCACGGGGCTGGGCGATTTTATGTATTAGGGTTGGGGGTGAAAGTCTGTTTGAGAATGAATCACAGGGGATACTATGTTTGGAAACACCCAAAGAACAGAACTGGAAGGGCCTCCAAGGACTCGTTTTTTGCGTTTGTGTGACTCTAGGGTGGGATAGAAACCAAACCTACCTGACTGGGGAGAAGGTGGACCAGGATGCAGCGCTATCCCACGAGTGACCAGCAGAGGTCGCTTGGAGCCGCAGCATCCACAACAGCCACCTGGGCATTCCGGGGTGTTGCCAACGCTGATCAGAAGCTTGTTGCAGATCCTGGGATCTGTCCCGGTCTCTCCGTAGACAGAACCTGGCCCTCCTCCCCCAGGGCAGAGACTGGGGCTCTGAAGGACCAAGGAGCTGATCATGGTGTCTCCCAGCTTGTCTCCCATATTTTCCCAGAGGCTCTGAGCTCGCGGCCTGAGTTCCTCATTCCCAGTCATTGTACCAGGGAACCCTGAGCGCATTGCCTGGTGCCCGGGCCCCAGAACGAAACTTTAACCTCTGCCCTCTTGGGTAGGGTCTGCTTCTGCCACCATCACACCCTCTGTCCCAGGACAAGAGAATTATGGGGACCCTGCATCTCCAGTTGCCCGAGGTCCTGGGGTTGTCCTTCGTTGCAAGCTGCTTTATGGGGTGAACCAAAGGTCCCCAGGAACAGAGCCACCCTCCCACACCCCTTCCCTGGCAGGAAAAGACAGGGCAAGAAGGAGAAAGACCTTTATTTCTCCACCCACAGTGGGACTGGTAGGTTTTCAAAAGAGCAATCACTGGCGTCCCTTTAATTCTTGGCTGACTTCCACAGTGGCAGCCAATCAACAGAGGCGGAGCTGGTGAGTTGCCTGGGCAACAGGCCCCTGGTTGGCCGAGCCATCAGCCACCCCACTGCCCACTTCCAAGTAAGGGAAATGGACTCTTTGCTCTCCAGTCTGTGTTTTGGACCTGCTGGCTGAAGCTAGGCCTCCTCGTCTCGCTCCTGAAGCCAGAGCTCTAGCCTTGGGGTCTCGACACTGGTCGCGATCTGGTGGAGAGGATGGGGTGGGGAGGAGAGGAGAACGAGGCCTTTATCTGGGACAGACATAAGGCCTGGGGATGGGAGGGAGGAGGAGGAGGTCAGGGTCCCAGAGGATGAGGAGACACAGCACAAAATAAGATCTCTCTAGTCCCCCTCTCTCTGGCCTGCCCCTCTGCAAAACCGCTCAATAATCTGGGGGCAGAGGTGGGTGACAGAGATGGGGTCGGCTGAGTTTCCCAAGTGCCCCTTTCTCGCCCAGGAGCCCAGCAGGTCCCTAGTGCTTGAACTGAACCCCCCCGCTGCAGACAAGCCTGTACAGATGTGACAGAGACACAGATGGGGTCCACATGGAGTGTCGCAGGGGTCTTCTGTCTCTCCCCCCCAGATTGGGGGTAAGTAGAGGCACGTGGGTGTGCGTGCATGTGTTCAACAGGACACGTGTGTTTGTGTGTGGGGTGGGGCTCTGTCCTTTTGGTAGGGAGGTCGCTGTGGTTTCTGGTACTCTCCCTGCGACCCTCTGAGGGTCGGAGCTGGCTGGCCTGCCTATCTTCCCATCATTCCCAAGGACCACCAGTCAAATTCCCGGATGGCTTCCGGCTTCTTCACAGGTTCCTCCCCAGCCCTGAACCTGGGCCACCTGGATGACACAGCTGGTGGAGGGAGGCCTGTGCCGGAGCAGGGGCAAAGCAGGAGGACGGTGGGCAGCCTGGGCCTCAGGCCTTGGCCGTGGCCTCGGACACACCCTGGGCTGTGAGCTCGGCCAGCACGTTGTCTAGATAGCTAGCGTCTGGGTAGCCATGGCCCGTGAGGTTGGATCCGAACTCGGTCTTGTGGTGGATCTCGTTCCAAACCACGGTGTCCGACTCGCCGGTGGTGTTGGATGTGCCAATGGTGAAGATGAGTCTCCGCTCCCAGGCGGTGATGAGCAGTCTCAACACCTGGAGAGCGGGGTGATGGGGCAGGGTCACAGGCCACCCTGCCCATGGCCGAAGCCCCTGCAGCCCGGCCTCCCCTCTCCCCCCTGCCTCATTGGACCTGCTGAGCCCAGCAAGATGCCCTGCTGGGCTTGGCCACTTCCTTCCCTGGACTGACTCTCCCAGTAACAAGCTCTTTCCAAGTTACCTGTTTCTTCTGGGGTGAAGGAAGGGTCTCAAATGGATGGCACTTTGCTGTGTTTGCTTTGGACCCCACAATGTATTAAACGGCCACTCTGTGACTTCGTTGGCAATATTTAAACATCCTGGAGATTTCACATGAAAGCCAGAATTTCTGTCTGCTCTCAAGAAACAATAAGTAAAAGCAGACACCGTCTATAGTGTGGTGGTGAAACCCCTGGACTGCTTAGGTTCAAACACAGGCTCCACCACTTGCTAGCTGTGTAACCTTGAGCAAGTTACTTGCCCTCTCTGAGGCTTTGTTTCTGTATCTGTAAAATGGAGTCAAGACCTTGACCTCAGGAGTGCCTGGCAGGGTTGGATGTACACTGCATGGTTCTGGTCAGTGCTGGTGTGGGGAGGAATGTGAGAGCAGGGACTGGGGACAGTAGGCACTCGAGGCCCACAGCCCTGCACCCTCACGACACCCACCTTCCGGCCCTTCTCGTTGTTGGGCAGGTAGCAGTGGCGTGGAAAGCCTCTGGCGGTGAACTTCTTGCCTGGGTTGGGGTGCTCAGGGCCCTGTGGGGGAGCAGCGGGGGCTTGAACCATAGGCAGGCATGGGAGGGTCTCTGCAGGGGTCAAAGGAGTCGGGGTCAGGGGCCCGAGCGGGGCTCACCTGGATGCCTGTGGGGATGTCATAGACGATGCGGATGGTCTGGGTGTCAGCGAAGCCAGGCAGCGAGTGGGGGATGAGGTGGAACTCCATCTTCCCGGGTGGCTGCGTGCCCGTCTTCTCCCCGTAGATGGCCTTGCAGGTCGGGCACTGCAGGCTGCCGTCCTGGGCACGGGAGGCGGGGGTGAGGGCCCTGCTGTCCCAGCTCCACTGGGCTGCCTTGCCCGCTCCCCACCCACTGTCCCCCCAGCCCACCTTGTTGCCATTGGAGTACATGGCCACGAGGCACAGCAGGTGGTACATGTGGCCGCAGCGGCCCAGGCGGCCCACGAGCTCGGGCCGCACACCCTTGTGGCGAAGCACACCCTCGTAGCCGGACGCCGTGACCAGCCGCTCCATGCAGATGGTGCAGTCCTGCAGGGGGACACAGACCGGGACTGAGGACAGGGCAGGGGGGACACCCCCTCTGGGGCACCCACTTATCACGGGCAGAGGACACCACGTATACCGAGCTCAGATCTATGGCTCCTTCACACTCTCCTCCAGAGGGAGTCGAGGACTATCAAAAGCAAACTTTAAAAATATACGTGAAGCCCTGGCCAGTTTGGCTCAGCGGTTGAGCGTCAGCCTGCGGACCAGGGAGTCCCAGGTTCGGTTCCTGCTAGGGGCACGTACCATAAAAATATGGGTGAAAATAAGATACAAAATCTTCCAATCACCAAAAGACCGATACCTGTGATTCTATGAAACATCAGCATTTCTGTTTATCAAGACACTGTGAAGCAAGTGAAAAGGCAAACCCACAGGCTGGGAAAAGGGACTAGCACACAGAGGCACGAGGGGAGGGGAGGGGAGGGGAGGGGAGGGGAGGGCAGGGGAGGGGGGAGGGGGGAGGGGAGGGCAGGGGCCCTGTCTCCGCAGGCAAGGGCACAGGTCCACACCTTCCCGGGGACTGACCTCATCAGGTGGGCTCTTCACCTTCTGCATGTACCTTCGAACCACATCCTCGGGGTTCTTACCTGCAAGGACACGGGGTGGGCTGGAGGGCACCCAGAGTCTACCCGAGGCTGTGGCTCAGGATGGAGTCAGGGGTTAGAGAGGTGGGGTTGGCAGAGGCTAAGTGTCAGGGGTTGGAGTTGGTGGCAGAAGAGGTCAGGGAAACGGGAATTGAGATCAGGAGATGAAGGTGAGGTCCTAAGTCCCACCAACAAATTGGAGCGGACGGGTTAGAGAAACTGAAGTCAAGGGTTAGTGGGGTCAGGTTCAGGGGCAGGGTGGGCGCGGAAGGCGTACTCTTCTTGAGGTGCTTCTTCTTGGTCTTGCGGCACACCCCAGGCACGCCGGGCACAGGCTTGACGTCGCTCTTACTCACGGGCGGCGGGTGCAGGATAGGTTTGGGTGCCCTGGTCAGGCACACGGGCAGCCCAGCGGCGCACAGCAGGATCCCGGTCATCCCTGAGGGCGTGGCCTGGGCAGTCAGGGGCGGGGCGCCGTCCAGACCCCGCCCACCACCTCCCACCCTTTTGTCATTGGGTGTTCGCATGGGGCCTTTCCCTCAGACTCCGCCCACCTGCTTGGTCCAGGGATCCTAGGGATCTCAAGTGGATGAGTGGGGTGTGCCCTGGGCCCACCCCTCAGCCCCACCCTAGGTTGAAGCCAAGGGCCTTCTGGGCCCCGCCCACCAGCTCATTAAGGGGCGCAGTCACAGGGCCCTCAGGTGGGGCTGCCTTCTCAAGGGCCCCATCCTCCTCTGGAGTCTTGGGCTGGACCTCACCTGCCAGGGCCGGGTGGACGGGCCCAGTACCATTCAAGTTCTTCACCGGGAGCGCGGGGACACTGAGGGGAGAAGAGAAGAGACTGCAGTCCCCACACCAGAGAATCAAGGGACCGTAGTGTGCCTTTCTGGGCATAGTCTGACTGCTTTGGCCTGTCCCAATCATCTAGAATGGTCCCAGGGAACTGGATTCCTACTCTGACATCCTTCTATGATAAGGTGGGGTGTAGCCAGGATCTTACCCCGGTTAAAATGGAATGAACCCCTAAACTTGGTACCGAATCTTCCCCATTTCACAACCGGCCTCCTCCCTAGTGAGCACACTGAAACCCAACTCTTAGTGATTTAGTCGTCCCAGCCTATCCCAAAGCTTGCTGTATGCAGCGCTAATCCGCACAGATGGTTCTGGGAAAGACGAATTAAGGACCCAATAAGTTAGGAAACACTTCCAAGTCTCCCTCTTCGAAAATTCACAACAGGTATGAGCATATCAAAGGCTCTGATAAGTCCTGCATACGAAAATATGGTTAGCGATGATAAACCCAGGTTTTCCAAAGACATTTGATGATGGACATTTTTCTTGCATCTCTGCAATGTCTACTGATGTTAGTTCCTGAGACGAAGGCATCGCCTTCTCTTCAAATGAAGATGCCCTAGGGAAATGCAGCCTGCTTCTTCTCCTCTTTGCCCTCCCGCCAATGACCTCTGACTTTTGGAATCACCCAGAGCTGTTTTCCTATCTCAGCTCAACCACTAACCAGCTAGGTGACACCCAGCACATCCTCCTCCTTCTCGTTAGCATTTCTCTATAAAGCGTGGTGCCTTCCTTCTGTTTGCTGTGAAGAGTCAATGCAATTCTACACGTCAAGGGCCAAGCACCATTGCCGGTAACTAATAACGCCTCTAATGGCATTAACCATCATTGTCAGCATCATCACCGTCCCTGTGCAATCTCGGATGCGTAGTTTCACCTCTCTGCACCTCAGCCCACTAAATCAAGGTGTGATTTCTCTCCGTCTTGAAGAGAAAACCATAAATGTATTGCAGAAACAAGCTGGAGCAAGTCACTTAACCTCTGTGATCCTTGGCGTTCTTATCTGTACAATGGGGATAATAATACCTCACTTATAAGGTTTGGGGGAGGGCCGAATGATCTGCCATGATCTGTTCGGCGTGCCTGCCTGTGTCTTCACAACCCCAGGGCTTGGCTGTTGATGGGCATGGTCCCCGGACGGATGCGTTTTGATTAAGAGGTGTGTTCTGGAAGCCAGGGGGAAGCAGGAGGGACTTGGGGACTGTGCCAGAAAGGGGTGCAGGAAGGGATGAGGGCAGTGACAGCTGGGGAAGACGCTGCTACAGTCCCCTTAGTCTGCCTGCTAAGGACTGCGCCTGGCCAATGCTGCCTTGTCACCTGCCCCTGGCAGGCACAGTTGGCACCAGGGAGCTGGCTTCAAGCAAATAGTATGCTTGGCAGACTTGGGTGCAGCTGTGGTGGGTACAGAAACACACACACAGCCTTGGGGAACTTGTGGTATATATACATGCACACATATACAGATATACAGACACATGTGACGTGGAGAACAGCACACAAATAGACACATCCCTAGGAACAGGCCTCCACACATGTACACACACGGGCACACAAGCACACACTCTCCAGGAGCCCCTTCCTCATGCACAGATACAGACACAGACACATGTATACTTGGGGAACATGCCACATGCAAGCACACACACCAGGAAATACATAACATGCACACATACAAAGATAGGCACAAACAACATCAGGGAACATATCCCATGAACACACAGAGATTCACATACACACACACACACTTCTACACACAGAACCCACACAACACATACACATAGACTCCAGGGAACACACCACACACAAGCGATACACACGTGCACACACTGTGAGGACACTTGATGGGACCAGAGATGCCGGCCCATGCAGAGTGGTACACGTCCAGCCAGGTCCCACCCCTTCTGCCCCCCACACACACCGCCTTGGAGAAGCAGACAGCAAATTCCGGGGAAATGCACCCTGGTCCTCACCAGCACCCAGCACTGTGCAGCCTGCAAGGGGACCCTGCCGTGTGCACAAGGGGACACAAGCAGGCACACGATGACCCACACTCCCCAACAATGACCCACAAAGCTCCGCCAGAAGGCCCACGCTTTACGTGGAGTCACACGCTCAGTCACACATGCACACGCACTGCACACACCCCCTCCACTCCGCAGCTGCTCAGGCTCAATCGGGGTCGGCCAGGGCCCTCCTCCCAGACCCTCCGAGGGCCATGTCTGGAGCAGACGTCAGGGACCCTGAACACCTTGGTGACCTGGAGTCACAGAACAGAGCTCCTGAGGGAGGCGTGATGGGAGGGCAGATACCAGGGGCCCCAGGGTCTGGTCAGTTGGGGTGGAAGGGGCAAGGGTGCTGTGCCTCAGTTTCCCCTCTGTAACAGAGCTAGAATCTTGTGAGGGTTCAGTGAGCTAGAACTTAAAGCTCGGCCGGATGCAGGGGTGAGCGTGGACTTACTTCTCCTTCCAGCACCATCCTGGGACCCAAGAGACGGGACAGAGTGTCCGTCGGGCCGTCTCGGCGTCTGTTGTGATCACCACACTGACCTTACCCCTCCCCGTACTCTTACAGGAGATCAGAGAGGCACGTGTCTCTGTCCTCTTCCCTGTCCTGTCCTTGCAAATGCTTCTACTGTGCACACTCTATGCGGAGACATCTAGGTCTCCCCACCCCCTTCTTTTCCTTTTGTCTCACGAGAAACATCCCTCCTTCTCTCCAGGGCTCTCTGTACAATGGGTGGAAAGACGGCTTTCAGCATGCTACCCCGCTTCTTGTCTCCTGCCTGTGGCAGACATCACTAATCCATCTCAGCACACTCTCAAGCTGAACAGAATCCTCAGCACAGTGCCTGGGGCAGCCTCTACCAATCAGTAAGGACAGGGTGCTACCCAGGTCTCTGGAATGCCCAAAGTCTGGTCTAGCTCATGGCCCTGGTCTCGCTGAGCCTTTGGCCTGGGAGTTAGGGCGGGGGGGGGGGGGGGCAAAGGGGAAGGTTTTAGGTCTCAGCTGCCCTGCAATTTCTGGCACCCCTTAAGAACCACAGAGCCCTGGGTTACACAAGTCAGTCTTGCTCCCGGGAAGAGGGTGTGAGTGGGGCGTGATGGTGGGGCTGTTTTTTATTTACCTATCAGTGAGCTGGGGGACAGTCCCCAGGCAGCCCCCAGCCCCTCTCAATCTGCAGGCCCCTGCGAGAACCCCAGGTAGCAGGGTTCCCACGACGCCCGAGCGTGGGAGCCACCTGGGCCCCCTTTTGATGTGGGATGCTCTGCTTCCTCCGAGTCAGTGAGAACATCCTCCTGCCCTGGACAAGGGGCCGCTGCCCGCAGCCTTCGCTCTCTGCTCCGCCCTTTGGGGCCCAGCCTGGCAAAAGGTCAGAGGAACCCTTCAAGCCCCCTTGAAATCTGCTTTGACCAGAAGCCAGGCCTGGCCACCTCAGGACAGAGATGGGTCCCGCTGCCACGCTGGTCTTCCTGCTGCCTTCGTCACTCCCATCGAATCCTGTTTATCCTCTGCCTTCGATCCTCTGTGGCTCTTGCCTTGCTCAGAGTAAACCTGACCTCCTTACCCGACATGATATAGCCAGTACCTACCCCTGGAACTCCATTTTCCCCATCTCAGCCCCGATCCCTTCACACCAGCTTCCTCAGTCTCCCCGCTGCTCCTCAAACATGCCAGGTATATTCCCGCCCCAGGGCCTTTGCACTTGCTGATCCCTCCCCTGATATTCTCTTGTCTTGCTCCCTCATTTAACACAGGCTTCTGCCCCAATGCTTTCTTCTCCTTCTCCTTCTCCTTCTCCTTCTCCTTCTCCTTCTCCTTCTCCTTCTCCTTCTCCTTCTCCTTCTCCTTCTCCTTCTCCTTCTTCTTCTCCTCCTTCTCCTCCTCCTCCTCCTCCTCCTCCTCCTCCTCCTCCTTCTTAACATATATGTTTTTATTGATTTATTTTTTAGAGAGAGAGGAAGGGAGAGAGAGATAGAAACATTGACGTGAGATAGACACATCGATTGGCTGCTTCCTGCACACCCCCCACTGGGGATCGAGCCCACAACCTAGGCATGTGCCCTGATGGGGAATTGAACCGGGACCTCTCAGTCCATGGGATGATGCTCAACCCACTGAGCCACACCGGCTGGGCTGCCCCAATGTCTTCTTACCAGAGACCTTCCCTACCACTTTACTCTAGAGGCTGCTGCTGCTCTAACTGCTGAGCACGGTCCCTTTAAGGCCTTTGCACTTGAAGGCCTCCCATGCTGAATGGCTCAGTTATGTCTCTGCCCAGCGCCCCTCATCAGAGAGACCCTCCTGATCACCCTACATTGACGCCAGAGTCTACCACATAGTAGATGTTCAGTCAACACTTGTTCTGTTCATGAGGACGGAAGCCCGGGTTCTGTGGGCTGGTTCCGAGAGGAGGACTCATGTGCACTGGGCACATGGACCCCCTGCATTCTTTGCACACATTTGAAGTGAGCCTGGCACAGGAGTCCCAGGGAAACACCTCCTGCCGCTGCTGGTCCCTGGAGGTTCTCCGCCAACATTTATTCTTAGTGAGCACACCGAGTGGCACCCTGTGGGAACAGTCCAGGCAAGTTTCTCTAAGAAATTCCCAGAAAGGCTCCCCATCCCATGCGGGGCAGGAGTTCCAGGGCAAGGGTGTGAGGAGCCCAGACATTCACACCTGCCCTTTGAAGACAGGTTCAAAGAGCACTGTCTTTGGGGGGACCCTTCTGAGCGACAGCAAGCACCCTCGAATCCACACCTCCTCTTCATTCCCCGGGGACTGTGTTTCTTTGTGGGAAGACTCAGACATTTTCGGTCTTGCTTTCCAGTTGTGCGGTTCCACTCCTAGCTCTTCCAACAGATTGTGAGCTTCTGGAAACGTCTCTGACCCAGGCCTGTGACCCTCAGGTTGAGGCCGAAACTCACACAGGTGGACGCTCAGTAAGTACTGAATGGGGGAGTTGAGCC